TTCTCTTCTCTGCTTGTCCCACCTATACTTCCTGCCTGGCTATTGGCCAATCAGCATTTTATTTATTAACCAATCAGAGCAACACATTCACAGCATACAAAGCAATATCCACAGCATCTCCTGGCCATGCATTTTGTCAGTTCTGTAACTCTCATGTCAGAAAATAAATGATGAGCAGGGAAGGAAAAATCATCTGAAGCCATGGGTCTTTCTTGAGAGAGTCCATTTTGACAAAGGCGGATTATCACTTCCTTTCTTATAAGAGTTCTCCAGGTTATCTCAAATGTCCCCTAGTTTACAAGATGCCTGGGATGGTTCGTTTTCACTATCCACCTGACTGGATTAGCAATCACCTAGAAAACACCTGTGTGGGAGGATTTCTAGAAAGGGCTAACTGAGAAAACCCGCCCTGAGTGACAGGGATCCCATCCTGTAGACTGAGAGCCCACACAGAACAACAGTGGAGGAAAGAAGGAAGCCAGCCGGTGTCAGCATTTGTCTCCTTATTTTCTGGTTTCCGTGAGGTAAGCAGTCTCCCTTGCTTAGAGCACCATGGTGTCAGCCTTACTCAGGCCCCAAGTGGAAGTGTCTTACCTCAAAACCCCCTGAGACTGTTCCTCCTTTAAGTTCTTTGTCTCGAGTGTTTTCTCACAGCAGTGAGAATCATGACGAACACAATGGCTGTTAATTTGAGTGCCAGCCTAAAGGTTTGACATTTCTTCCTCCTTAACATTAGATACAGAGCAGTTGAATGAATGAAGGGGAATAGACTATCAAGTTGCTGTCACACTAAGTGCTACATTGAGAGAGCTATGAGGAAAGCCTGGCCCCTGCCTTCAGGCTGGAATGAAAGGAAGCTTGTGAGATAGGTCTTTCTTAAAGAGAGTATGAGAGATTGCATGGGAAGCTGAGGGCCTCATGGATGTATTTGTGTGAATAGAAGCCTGTGGGACTCCAGGCAACAGATTCACTAAACAGGGAGATGCCTCACATGTTATTAAAACCAGTATAGTGTGTGTCAGAAGGCAACATGGGCTGTGTTGTAGTTAGGGTTTTCTGTTGCCGTGAAGAGACACTATAACCATGACAACTCTCAAAGAAAATGTTTAATTGGGGTGGCTTCCTTACAGTTTCAGAGGTTCAGGCCATTATCATTGTGTCAGGGAGCATGGTGGTGTGGGCTACATCTTGGCTTGCAGGCAACAGGAAGTCCACTGAGACACCGAGCGGTATCCTAAGCACAGGAAACCTCAAAGCCTGTGCCCGCAATGGCACACTTCTATAGCATAAAGTTTTCCCCAGTCCCACCCAGCCCCGAGGACCTGCTTAGAGGTGGGCAGGAAATCCAAGGAGCGAGACAGGAAAGAGAAAGGTGGAGTCTGGAGATATGCCAGCCTGCTGCCCAAGGAGCAACCTGCCAGCAGACTGGTAAGGCCACGGAACACATGGCAAAACATAGCTCATTAGAAATGGGTTAATTTAAGATATAAGAGCTAGCTAGAAAGAGACCTGCCATAGGCCATACAGTTTGTAAATAATATTAAGCCTCTGAGTGATTATTTTATAAGTGGCTGCGGGTCCATGGGGCTGGGCAGGACTGTAGAAAACTTCCTGCTACACACTTCCTCCAACAAGGCCATAGCTATTCTGACAAAGCCACACCTCCTAATAGTGCCACTCCCTATGAGATTATGGGAGTCAAGAACATTCACACTACCACAGGCTGTCAGGAATGATTAGGAACTAGTGATGTAAGATACATATTTGTGCTTTTTTTTCAGTGCCCCAGGTTTTCTGTAATGAATATGTATTATTTTTATAACCATAAAATTCTTGCAAAGATTTTGCAATGAAAAGAAAATGTCCAATCGTGGAAGTGATGCTGTGGATGCCTGGGGTCATCCCGGGTGCCTAGCTCCTTTCATGACAGTTTGTTTTAACCAGTTTGTGACAAGAACCCATAAATGACAACATTTGCTGATGACAGAGGCTTGCAGCTGATTATCATGTTGATACTGAACCTGAATCATTTCAGTTCAGTCGTTGTTGAACCTTTTCTTCCTGAACCTATGTGTCAAATGTCCTTAGAAAAACCTTGAATTCTAAAGCCCAGTGTGGTAGTGTATGCCTGAAATCTTAGTACTCCGGGAATCGAGGCAGGAGGACCAGGAGTTCAAGGTCATCCTTGGCTACGCAGTGCCTTTAAGGCCACTCTTGTTATAGGAGACCCTGTCAGAGGAACAACAAAAAACTCCAAACACTTGGGTTCGAAATGAAGCCAACACATCTCAATCCTCTGTGGAGAGATGGTCTGATATGCAAAGGCCCTTGCTATTTGCCAAGTGAAGCACAAATCCCCAAGGCAAACATTTACTATTCTCTACCGTCTGTACCAACCTGTGATCTCCCTTGGCTCTTCCTAAATCCCCTGTGCGGAGTGGTTTGCTGTCTACTTCCTGTTCCCATCCAACCCTCTTCATAGACAGAGTGGATCTGGTGGGGTTGGGGACCTGGCTCGGCCACTTGCTCACATGACTATAAGGAGGCCAGTGCATCCACCACACCTCAGTTTGCTGGTCTGTCAAACATAGACGACAACCCAACTCCTAGGGCAGCTGGGCCTCAAAGGCTTCATTAAGCAACACTGAGTGCTTGGTATATTTCCTGGTAGGTGTAAGGAACTCCAAAATGGTCACTTTTGTTCCTAACTCTTAACTAGTTAGTCCAGGCATTATCTATCTATCTAGTCAGCACAAGAAGTCCATCTTGTGCTTTCTGGTCTGTGGACCCTGAAGGAACTCTGCACCCTCCTCTTACCAGTTCTCCAAGAATGTGGATCAGAACTGGCTTGTCTCAAAGATGAGTTGAATTTGTCGAATTGAAAAATGTGACACCTTAACCATGCACGTACCAGCCACCTGATAGATTTTACAGTGTGTGTGTGTGTGTGTGTGTGTGTGTGTGTGTGTGTGTGTGTATTCACATTTATGTGGTTGCACATGTGTCTATGGGTGGGTGGAGGAGGCCAGAGGATAGCCAGGAGTTGTGACACCTCAGAAGCCATCCACTTTGTTTATTGAGATGGATTCTCTCAATGGCCTGGAGCCTACCCAGAAGGTCAGGCTGGCTAGTAAGCAAGCCTCAGGGGTCTACCTATCTTTCCTCAGCATTAGGTTTACAAGCGTGCACTGCTGTACCAGCCCTTTCACTTGGGTTCTGAGGCCTGAACTCAGGTCCTCATGCTTCCGTGGCAGACGCCTTTCCTCACCTCAGGTTTTACCATTTTAACCAACATCATAAGCATAACTGAAATGAGAATAACAAGTTGTTTATTCTCACCGAGCCCTTGTTGGAGATCTGTGAATGTTTGCAAGAGGTGCAATCCCTTTTTATGCTCTGGGGCTCTGTTCATTTTAACTCAGTATTCCCAAAAGCTCGACTAATGAATAATTCTACATTGTACCTTTGGACAACCTCTTGTCAATAATTAACACCCCACCTTCCCTTGCCGAGTGATGGCCGCCGTCACGTCCCTTCCCAGGAATGAGTTTCCTACAGCCGTTTGCAAATGTTAGCCAGCTAATGGTTCAATGTCTCCCTGCAAAGAAGAAAATGCTTTTCGGAAATGTAGATCTGAGCATTGGAATGTCATGTCCCATGCCACACTCCTGGAAGCCACAGCAAAAACGGGGTGAGAGAGATCCTGAACTTTTCCAGCAGAGCTGCCCAGCGTGGCAGCAGACAGAGCCACTTGCTGGAGAAGGGGAGAAACTCGGTTCTCAAATGGGTGTCATTCAACTAAAGGGTGCTGGGGCCAGGGGCCTGGCTCTGTGTTCTTAAACACAAGCTGACTCATGTTCTCCCTCTCCCACCCCCTCCCCTTCTTCCCCCTTCCCCTGGACATGTGAGGCCAGAGGTCAACTCTGGCTGTCTTCCTCTGTCAGCACCTACCTTATATTATTATGTTCTGAGGGTCTCTCTCTGAACCCAGAGCTCACTGTTTAGGATAGGCTCAGCGGCCAGTGTACCCTGTTGTCTCTGCTTGCCTAGGCCTGGGATGACAGACACACACCGCACTCAGCTTTTCTGTTGTTGTTGTTTTTGTTTGTTTGTTTCAAGACAGGGTTTCTCATTTTGGAACCTGTCCTAGATCTCGCTCTGTAGACCACCAGGCTGGCCTCGAACTCACAGAGATTCGCCTGGCTCTGCCTCTTGAGTGCTGGGATGAAAGGCGTGCGCCACCACTGCCCAGCTCACACCCAGCTTTTTATGTGGCACCTGAGAACTGAACTCAGGTCCCCCTGCACACAACTGAGTCGTCTTCCTAGGAAGATTCCCTTCCAGAGCCTCAGTTTTTTCCCTCAGAAACACGGGGTGAAAAGCCCTCCACACAAGTCTCTGACGCTCAGATGAGAAAGTCTGTGTAAACTGTGTCCTTTACTCTGTAGCCACTCATTACGGGGCTCTACTTATCCAAGAAACCAAAAAGAAAGCATGGAACACAGCCTTCATGTAGCTCCCAGTTGAAAGGCAGCACGTTTAGTAGAAAGAAAAGTCAGGTGTGGTGGCATACACCTTTAATCCCAGCACTCTGGAGGCAGAGGCGAGCCTGGTCTACACAGTGAGTTCCAGGACAGCAGAGCTACATAGTGAAACCCGGTCGCACACCCCTACCTCCACACAAATCTTACACACCAGTAAAATTGGGAGCAACAGGTTATTGTACACAAAGCTGCTCTTCTCGCTGACAAATACCCGTTACTTAGGAACAGGATTCACGAGTAACTACCTTGTATAGTTTAGTTATACTCAGAGATGTTAGCATGGTTGGAAGAACACCATCTAGAAATTGTGCAAAGCCTGCCATTCTTCCTTGGGCCAACTCTACACCAGGGCCAAGTTTAACTCAAAAATGATGATTAACACCATTTGTTGAAAAGATGTTAATATGCTTGGATTAAAGTGTGCCAGAGTGGTTTTTTGTTTACTCTCTCTTACAGACCTAAGAGGAATAGACCTGGGGAATCTTTGACTTTTCTGACCGGCATGAAAACCTATGCAATGTGCAAAGTATTGAATGAATCAAAAGCCAGAGAGTTCATTTGCAACTTAAGTGAACAAATCTAATTTTCTAATAAAAATATGTTATCTTACAGGAACAAACAATGTCTTGTATTATACATATTTTACTTGCTTTTGTTTTTAATGCATTGCTCTCCCCTGTGATCTCTGAGTAACATATGGGGAAGGTTCTGTCATCATAGCTGGGATATGCGCAGGTAAGGCTGTTTCATCTTGAAAGACCTTTGTGTTTATACCTGGACCCAATGTTGACTAACTCAAAGAAAGAAATGGCTGCTCTAGCCTTTTGGATTTCACAAGGCATTTTTATTAAGTCTGATTTAGACTTGTTTATCACATTCTGTCTGAGAAATCAAAGCCTATAACATCTGGTTTTCCCAGCATCGATATAAGACTGTTTCCAACAGGCTGTGCGACTTCACTTCTTGGGCTGTAGAATGGGAGCTGAAAGGACCAAGATGGGTCACTGTTTCTAAGGAGCATCCCCCTCATGTCTCATGTTTCTGAGTGTCTCGGGAGGTGAGGTCCACGGTGTGGCCCGTGTCTGGCAGACCGTAGGAGGGCCGAATGTGGAGCCCACTTCTTCTACCTGCAAAGCTCAAGGAATTCATACCAATTTTTCAGCAAGTGGTACTCTGCATTTTCCATGGGCAGGCACAAAGCAATCATTTGAAATAACCAATCAGTACCCTAGGGGTATTGCTCAGTAATGGAGTGTTTGCCTAGTATATGCAAGGCCCTGGGTTCAATCCCCCACCCCACAGTAAAATAAAATAATCGAACAACAAACAAATGAAAAGCCCTGCGTCACTTCTCTGGTTTGTTTTCCTTTCTCCTCCCCAGGCTCTGCTGGTAGGAACCTACACAAGGCATGAGAAACATGAGGCCCTGTAACGTCTGCTGGAAGGGAAGGTTTGGCTAGAATGGAATTGCTGCTGACATGCCCTGGGATGGTGCAGTAAAGTTCTTGCTATAAAAGCATGACTTCAGGTTCCTGGTACCCATGTGTAAAGCTTGGTGGTGCACACCTGTAGTCCAGTGCTGGGAAGGCTAAGAGAGAAGGATCCCTAGGGTTGCTGGCCAGCTGGCCTGGCTGAATCAGTGAGCTCCCAGCTCAGAGAGTGAGTGATTCTGTCTCAAAAATTAAAGGGGAGAGTATTAAAGGGAGACATCCAGTATTTATCTGCTTCTGGTCTTTACATATACACAGAAACTCATGTCACATGCCTATACATTTGTACACATGCTTATGCTCATGTGTGTGTGTGTGTGTGTGTGTGTGTGTGTGTGTGAGAGAGAGAGAGAGAGAGAGAGAGAGAGAGAGAGAGAGA